ATTACGTTAATGAGGACAAAAAAGATCAGATTGGTGTTGTCAAAACTCAGTCCTTCGATTTGATAGTTTTTCAAAATAATGAAATTAAAAGAGAGTCAGCACCATGACTTGGTGTTGCAATGCACCAAGAGCGTGCCATCCCCCCTCAATTCGGGTTGCCAAATTAAACCAAAGGTTCCCACTTTAGTATAGTTTAGGGCTCCCATTTGTAACTGGTGAACCTCAAAAACTGGCGCCGAAACAACAAAAGTTTAAGAAGGGAGCGCGCACCAAAAAATGTTAGTCCATTTTAAAAAAGACCGAAAACAATTTTCATCTTTTCTTACGAAAAACCAACGCCCCCCTTCACGCACGAAAAAACTTCTGCGCACGACGCTGCAATGAACAATAAATTGCGTTCAATCAACGAAATAGTTATCAACTAATCAAAAATCTTGCAGTTCGTCAGTATAAATTGTATGTTTTTTTTAAAAGTTATTTGAATCCCAGTTTTGTCCAACGTGAGTCGTAGCTGCAATTTTTAGTCGATGACAAACAAAAGATAATGCCAAATAAACTGCGGTAAAGATTTGTTTCATAAGAAACACGTTTGATAGATGTCGTGATCTACTCTGATAAACAAAGTTTCTACTGATTCCTTACAAAAGATTTATGACTTAAAGAGTTCGATCTATGCAGGGGTAACAATGAAAAAGAATTTGAAATATTATTTTTAGAAATATTTGATTGCGAAAACAAGAAGAAGTTTTAAAAATTACTTCATAACTTGAAGAAGATTCAATTTATGACAAATATAGCCGAACTTGTCAAAAATTTAGTAAATTTACGTATACATTTAGAGGCAAAAAAATTGATGGTTTCAAGTCATCGTAAAATTTTTTTCGAACACACTATTTTAATATATTTCAGATAACAGTCTGGATTGCAGCAAAACAAAAATTGTTATTTATCCATGAAATTATTTAAAAACCCGGGTACCCGGATTGACCAAAAATGCAATCATTCTGTTTTCATGTATGAAAATATGCTAGCCATACACTTTTAAAAAAACTCTATGAAAAAATGCAAGATAGGTCTCTGATCAGAAATTTTTTGGATAAAAAATTGTATGATGAGCATTTTTCCACAAAACAAAAAGTGTTTCCTTTTTAAATTTGAATTTTTGCTCTAATTTTTTTGGGTTCTGTTTCCAATCAAACACAAGTGCTTTAGACCCTGGCTGCTCAAAGCTAGATTAGGCAAACAATTTCACGATTCTGCATGTTCAATGCAAGGAAACCGAACTGAAACTGGTGTCTTAGCAAATAATACAATGAAAGTAGCAAACTTCTAAATAACGGTAAATTTCTCAGAGATGCAAATTTTTCGAATTTGAAACTTTGATTTATCCTTCAAGGCCGTAGGCATACCAAAAAGCCATACGACCAAAAAGTGTTTTTTGAGCGTTTTTGAAAAACTATTTTGAGAAAAGAAAGAATCAATTGATTTTTGTTCTTATCGAACTATGCTGTATACACTTAAAAGCAAATTTCGCGTGCAGAAAAACTTTCTGGAAATATTTTTTTCGCGCCAGAACTTTTTCAAATTTTTTTTGGAAATGTTCGCGCATGAAAATGCTCGCGCATAAAAACGTTCGCGTTTGAAATTTTTTTGGAGTATTTTGGAAAATACTTTGGTATTGTTTACGCAAAAATTTTCAGTCTTACAACTTACATTTCTGCCAACTGTACGATATGTAGTTTTTTGCCAAAACAGTTTTTCGATTTTTATGAACGTACATCAATCTTTCTGCCAATGCGAGAAAAAAGTTATTTTGAGTTCGATGACACTATTTAGTGAATATTTCTGGTATATGTTTGAGTGGTTTTTTACAGACTTATGTCAGGGAATTGTATGATTATTGTTCCGACTTTCGATACGAAAGTAACGGAATATTTGTGTTCGGGGTGGGTTTTTTTTTCTTCAGACAAATTTCGACTTTTTAACTAGCCATTTTTGACGGAATTTTTTTATATCATTCGAAAACCATTGTTGTCCTGAGCTTAAATTTGAAAAGATATTTTACCTGTGATCGTTTTGCGTAAAGTTATGAGGGTTTAAAGATTGCCATTTTGGCCATTTTGACCAATTTGGGACAATTAACGCGCGATATCATTCGCGCTATTAACGCGTAAGCGGAGATTTAATCCGGCTTATAAATCGTTCCAAATTGGTTGAACGAAGCTTATTTGCCATAATTGATTTGTTACAAGGAACGAAATTTATCTTTTTGTACTTTATATGGCGTGTGGGGGGATGATTTTTATTAAAAAAATCAAGTTAAAAAAAAATTTCATTTTATTTTAATTCATTTAATTTTTTATGCCATTACTGCTGCTACATAAACCTTAAAAGGCAGTCGGAACATTCAGGGCTTCGCCCTGATACGAGCAGTCTTGTTGGTCTATGGAATCACTCCGAGCAGTTATTGCGAGGGTAACAAATATTTTTCTGAAGACAGTTATCAATTCACAAACAACCGGAAAATAAATCAGTACTTTTCAAAAAAGTTTTCTAAATTGATGTTTTTACGCTTTTGTTGGTTATTAAGGCAAGGACTGGAATGCTATCTGATCAAACAAAAAAATTTTGTAAAAATTAATTTGTAAAAACGAGTGGTTTATCATATGTAAGACAAATCGCTCATACTTCAAGCTGCTACGATACTTTTCTGAACAAGTTCTCAAATTTATGAGTAAATGATTTGGAGTGAACACTGTTTTGGAGTTCTCTCAATGCAGACTCCAGATGATTTATTGCGAACTAGTCAACAAAGTTAAATACTCAACAACAAAAAACTACAACCTTTTTTGGAATTACCGTAGTTAGATTTTATTATGCGGCTTAAAAATATTTTTGAAGTTCAACACACGCAACCTTACTTGTATCAGCTGGAAAAATAAAAAATGAAATTGAAATGACCTGAAATATCGAAAAAAATCATGTCAAGCTTTTGATATGAAAAATGTGGTCGAGGTTTTTTGCGATATTGATACCAGTTTTTTCTCTTGCTTCAACTGATATAACTTCTTAATATAATATAACTTATTATGCTCCTTTTGGGATAGAAAATATTTTGCCCGTGACCTCTGGGTTTTTTTTGTTTTTTTTTGTCAAATTAAGTCACCCTTTCAGCCTTGCATGAAGTTTGCTTGGAATTGTTACCTCAAACTGGCCAAGTTAATTGCAGAAAGTTAGAAATTGGTCTAATATTTTTATGGCTTGTTTTGGGGCACATTTACCTTCTAAAAGATCTTTCTCAAAGATATCAAAATCAAATGTTTTTGGCTTCTAAATAGGTAAACAACCTCAACGTTTGCTTATGACTTAAAACAAAACAACTGGCACGATCTGTGATTTACTAGCGTCGTTAAGGTTTCAATTTTTTTTCTGTTTGTTAACTGCACTTTGTTGAAACGGAGACTTTAAAATTCATGGTCCGAATAATTACCAAGAACTGAACTTTTTCGTCTAAAAGCAACCGTTTGTAATGTTTGAAGAAAAAATTGAAATTTCTTGGTTTTATTTCATTTTCAGAGAAAAAATCGATGTAATTTTTTGTTTGGTTAGCCGCGTCATTCAGCATATTTATCCTTTTTGGGAACTTTGCTTTCTAATACTTTTTCATCTGCAAATACAAATTATTAGCACAATTAACAAAAACAAGTTATTAATTGAAGTTAAACGGAAGCTTAGCTATGTCAACCATTGGAATTGTAACGGGCGTCATTAAAAAAATAAAAGAGGTGCTGTTTTTTGTTCAATCAATTTTGGAGTCATTTTGTTCAGAAGCTTCATTTTGCGGAATGTTCCATTTGCGAGAAGAAAACAAGGAAAATAAAAGAACCAATGAATGCCGAGGAAAATGGTTGTCTACAATTCTTTTTTTTTTTTCAAATACGTTTTTCTTCTGGTAATAATTTTCAGTGATTACTTTTACTAATTATTTGGTTCCCAAATTTCACGCCGTTGACATTAAATTTAAATAAATTTTCTTTTTAACGCTTAATGATTTCACCTTTTACCCGATGGGTGATTTTCTAATAAGTAAAAGTCAATCCTGTATTTTTCTATTTCCTATTACAGTCAATCCTGTATTTTTCCGAAAGTTTGACCAATATAATGGTCTTGCTTTATTTTCTGTCAAATTCAATCAAACTCCGAGTTCAGCTTAAGAAACATTACTCCGAGCTCAGCTATTTAAATTACACAAACTTGTTCGAAAGTAGTTGATTTTATTACTTTACTTGGAATATTATAACTTATAATTATAAGTTACGCCAACGGTATCTTAATCTTATCAGAAGTATAAAAGTTTACATACTGTGTTTAAACTTCAACTTAGTATGAGTTCTGGTATCAATTACCATTTTTGTCACCTTTTGAGAAATTTAACTCCGGTCAATCACTCTTGGTCTTATGTTAAATTAAGTCAAAACTGTGGCTCATTATTTTTTATATAACTGAAAACAGTAAAAACAAAAACATCGCTTCTGCAATCAATTTTAGTAAAAATCTTACAAACAAACTGATTTGAGGAAAATTATCCTTTTAAGCTATTTTCTATTGCTTTAGGATTTGATTTCGTTGGATTTTTTTTCTAAATTAATTATTAAACAGTTTTATTGCCTAGTTTTTTCTTGCTATCTAAAACAAACTGCAACACAAACGATACTCAAGTCCAAGCAGTGAATGATTTTGCATTTATTATTTAGACAACTCCCAAAACAGCTTCTAAATAACATACCCCGAAATCATTTCTTATTCAGATAATTCCCGAAAACCTCCCAAAATTTCATATTCCATTTTTTAATACTTTGTTTATATGAAAATTTGATCGCAAATGTTTTATCGCTCAGTTCTGCCGATTGTTTGCTCCCCAACTTTCCCCCTGTTAATAATTGCATCCGTTTATTTCCCCCGAACGATTGGAACGAATGATATTGACAGTTTGAATTCAGATCCGAACTCACAACCCGAGCAGCAGACAACATTGAAACCTGATTGGTCCTCGACGACCATGAATGACTCATCGACTATGGCCGAGTATTCGGCGCCCGAGTGGCTGATCATGACCATTTCTTCGCTTCGTTTGATCATAACTGTGGCCGGTATGGTCGCTAATTTGATGGTTTGCGTGGCCATAGTCAAGTTCAGATACCTTCAGAATGTGGGAAATTATTTCGTATTTAATTTGGCCCTCTGTGACCTTTTGTCGGCACTGTTTGACCTCACACAGGTAAGACATTTTTTAAACAACTTCAACAAAAATTCATATTTACAAATCAACTTAACAATTTATCCTTAACTTATGATTATAAACATTTCTTAATTTTTTTTAGAAGAACGGTTGTCAAAAAATGCATAAACTTCAGCAAAACCAGACTCATTTTAGCTATAAATCATCATTCTTAACATAAGTTTGGATAAAAAATGATTCTTAAATAAATTTTGATAAAAAATTCAAGATATTTTTGGCTAAAAATGATTTCTTCGATTTTGAAGATTTTTTAATTTAAAAAAAATTGACTGATCTTGTAGTTTGAACTAAACATAAAAAAAGTTAGCATGCAATTAGTTATTAATTCAAATAGCCCTAATTTTTACCAACTTTTCATAGCAAATAGATAGTTTCATTTTTGTTTTTCTTTTTTAACGCTTTTTATACATCTAATTTTAACAGTGCGTGTTCTCTTTTCAAGATTGGCATCAACTTCCAACAGGTAAGAAATCGCGAGATTGATAAGTTATAAATTAAAAAAATGGCCAGAGCATGGCTATTAAAATTTCTCTTAAAAATCACAGCTTATTTTAACTGAGTTGTTTATTTCAAATATCTTTCGTAAATTGGTGGCAATCGTTTTAGTGACTAGAAAAAAAAATTGTTTTCGAATTTCTCCACGTATAACAAAAACCTGAAGTCACCATTGAACAATTTAGAAAACAGTATTATCAAATCACTTTGAATAATGCAGTACACTTTGCACCAAATAGTTTAAAGTTTTCTCTGCGGTCTTTTGTCTTTTTCAATTGTTTTTTCAGTCTCAATCTAATTGTCAACAAAATCTCTCAATCTGAATGCAAGTTTTGTTTCAGAAGTTATTCGTGTGCAATTTATTTGATCCATTTCAGCTTCTGTCGATTTTTACACCATTAACATCATCGCTCACTTAGTTTAACTTGCTCCTTATTTGACGTTTTAAAACAGTCTATTCACAACCTTTTCCCTTCTCCCAAATTTCAAAAAAAAAATTGGTTTTTTGATATATTGATAATCCAGAAAATTTTCAAAAAAAGCCAATTTTCTAATTTGGTAAAAAAAACAATTGATAAAGAAACAACGATCTTGTCAACTGTTTCCAACCTAGTAACCAATGCCAATTTTAACCCCTTAAACGAATGAGTTCAACTGCCAATCATATACCCTTTCGCAAAAAGGGGGGAAAATTAACAGAATCCGATAACGTTTATTTGAGAATTCTTAATGTTTTTGATCGTACAGATGTCATTAATTGACGCCATTTTTGATTTTTGTGAGAATTAATAATTGGGAAAAGGGAAAAGAGATTGCTTGAAACTTAGTGTTTAGCGAAAAAAACCTTAGTTTAGGCGCCTTTTCATTTTAGATGCTTTCTTCACTCATTCATGTTAGTTTACCCTGTACTCCCAAATTGGTGTTTGAGTCCTTTTTGAAAATGTCTCATCTTTTTAAGTTTCTTCAAAAAATCTTCAATCTTAACTTTCAAAATATTATTGTTTCTAACTCTCATTCAAAAAATCAAAATTTTGAGACGTGAAATGAGTCAACCAACAATACTAAACTAACTAGAGCAAGGCTTCGATTAATCCGACTGCCCTTGAATTTTTTGTGTTTTTGACTCCTTGAAATTTTCAGATATGTTTATCCCATTTTTTCTAATTAAAAAATACTTTACAAGCGCTCACTCAAACAGATTTAAAGCGAATAATGTTTGTTTTTAAAAGGAAATATGAAAATCTTAAGGGAGCATTTGATGCGCTTGCTGAATTTTCTGACTGCGAAGTTGCTTTCAATTTGAAAAAAAATGAACTTTTCAGAAAAAAATGTTTTTTGGATGATTTTTTTTCCAATCCCATAAACTTTTTGTCGAAAACAAAGAGAAAAATAATGCCACTTTGTAATGTGGCAATTTGCCTTAGTTCGGATTGCATCAATTGATTAACCAGACAGTTTTGCCGCCCAGGAAATTTATCGAGCGTTTTTGATTCAAACTTAGTCGAAAATACTCTTGCCAAACACAAACGGTTTTTTTTAAATTTTCCCTCAGATGAAATAATTGTTTCATTATGAGCTCGAACTGTTTTAAAGTACTTAAGAAAACATCAATTTTTGTCAATATAAAAAAAAGAAACTAACCCAACGAAAAAAAAACACTCAGTACTAATGACAGTTGCAGTCTTCCTAAGATGAAAGAAATCGTAGCAAGATGTTCACTTCAACTGATCATAATTAACATTTTTTTTTTCAGATTCATTTGCTTAAAATTTTGTGAATAATTTTTGGTACTTACGCAGCAAATGATTCCTTGTTTCTACGGGAGTTTTTTTTTTGAACTGTTACTGAAAAATAAATTTATCTGAAAAATGATGACTTATTTTATAAAAGTTTTTGATATTAACAAACGCATTTATCAACTTTTTTTAGAAAACTGAAGCAAACCGAAACTTTTAGTACCATTGTTTCATTATTTTGCTAATCAGCTTGTTTTACGAGGAAGTTTTAATTGTTTTCCTTAGTTGTTTCATCTGATTTAAATTGGATGTTACATTAAACCTAATTAGCAACAATTTTATTTCACCATAGGCTAAATGATAAATCAATTAAAAAAATTGTTTGAAACTTTACAGAAAAGGTGGCAAAAAGACAGTTGAAAAATCTGATCGATATAAAAAATGTTACTTTTTTCGTTAAAACTTATTCATTTAGATTGAAATACATGTACAAAAAGAAATAGAGACCGCATATTCTTTTTTATTTGTCAGCTTCAACAATACGATATAACAGTCAAACAGTTTCATTAAGACCACGTTAGGTTTCGATCTATATCCGTAGCCAAAGCCAAGGATAATTTTTGACTTTCAAGCTTCTAGATTTTCAGCGGCTTTTCGAAAATAGTTCTGTTGGGTTAAGCCTTAAATAAGTTTGACCTGATTTTTCGGCCGAATTTATCCACCGTTTGTTCAACGCGTTGATATAATCAAAACACTTAACAATTATGCTCCCTTGTTCAAATTCTTTTCAAAACCTTATGTTTTTGCAAAAGAATCATAGATGAAACACTTTCAAATTTTAAGCGAAAAAAAAATAATTTCAGCTTTTTTTTGAAAACTTGTGTCAAAATTAACTGTTAAAAGGTCTAAAGAGGTCTGAAGAATCCCTAGCTCGAAATTTTTTCTTCCGTGATCATGCATTCGTGTTAAAAAACAAATTTCAAAACAAAACAGCTGCAATATTGATACTTTTTTATAACTAAATACTTTGAATAACAAATTTTTTAAATACCAAATACTAAGAAACTAAAAAGCTCTGGAAGAACCCAAATGTTTTTTTGTTTAATTGATTTTGCTATATTTCTCATTTTATGTATACAAGCAGCTTATCAACCATGTTGTAATAAACGCAGCCAAAAAAAGGTTGAACAAATTATTATTGATAGCAAAGGTAAATGACAAATTTTGTTCATTCAACTATCAAAAGCTAAACATGCTTATTTATATCTTGATTTTTCAACGTATTTTTTTTCCAGAAAAAAACTTATTTTTTTTTCAACTACGTTTTTTTGGATAATTTTTGATATTTCACTGCAACAAGCCAAACGCCCGGAATTACTTCCACCGTATGAAGTCCTCATACAAAAACGATGCACTTCAAAAGGTAAAATGATTCCAGTTATTGGCTTTGCTAGGTAATTTATCATTAACTAAACAAAACTAGATCAACGAAAATTGCCAATTAGAAATTTTCTCCCCTCCACATCGACGTACGATTTATTCCCATCAACAAACATTAAATAATCAAAAAATAGCAAGCAAGTCATTACAAGGCCAAACTGTACAGTGGATAGGCGCACAATTTTTTGTCTATGTGTTTCTGAATTCTAGAGAAGTGTGCTTAAAATTGTCATAAAATTGAAATGGAATCCACTTACAAATTTTCAGAGGATTCCGCGTAAAAATACCTGTAACGTAAATTTTGTCGGCGCATTGATTTTGTTGGGCATTCTGCATTCTGCATTTGGAGAAACCGCTGGCAATTTGCGGATTCGCTTAGATTTTGCGTAAGCCACTTGCAGTTGAGGATTCCACGACAACTGAAGCTTACAAAACACATATAAAGTCATTTGTTTGATGATTCCACAAACTGTTCGGTATTTCGCAATTTCTGTTGCGGAGTCCACAATTTTTATTCCAGATTCCACAAAGTTGCTCGAAGTGTTTTTGAGCAAGACATTGTTTTAGCTATTTTTCCGTGGAATCCGAAACAGCCAAAAAGATCAAAGAAAAATATAGGATTCCGCAACAATTCTGTTTTTGCCCGTTGCGAAATCCACCCGCAATTCACTAAATGCTCAGTTTGGCCTCGTAAGGGTGAAACTTTCAAAAAAATCGAGATTTGAAGTTATACCTAAAAAGGAGCAGATAGCTCTTCTACGTCTGCAATCACTTATAATCGAAACTTCAGCTAAAAAATAAACACGTAATAAAATCTTCTTTGCATCAAATATCATTCGAAATTTTCCAAAATTCCCAGGAAGCGAACGCTGAGGCTTCATTTCACAAGCTTAAACCTCAAAAAAGTAGAAGAACAAGGAAAATCATTGATCATTTTTCTTCATTTTTTCTACGCTCTTGAAAACGTTCTTATGTAAACTAAAAACGTTCTTATTGAATTGATCTTTTTCTGCCATCATATAGTTTTTGGGAAATTATCACTGCATTTTTTCAAAAGCTTCAGAAAAGCGTCAGTGAAATTTCAGCAGATTTTTGTTTAATAATCAGTGTTTTTACTAAATTCTCAGTCAAAAATTGTAGAATATATTGGTTAATTTTTTTTTAAAAAGGGAGAAAAATTGTGAAAAAACCAAAACCATTGAGGAAACCTTGGTGAATGGTTACTATTTTTTATTGAATTTTAAGTGAAAGACCTGTTATTTATTTTCGTTGTAAACTTTCAGTAGAATACCAGTGAAAACTCAGTAATTTTTCATTTTAGTAACAATGTAATATCCGTGAAAAATCATATTTTTGATTTTGCAGCTTGTTCATAATTATCTTTTTATCTATAAAACTGAAGATGCTTCACTTTGCTTTTTGTTCTCGTTCCAGGGTTTCCCGACCGTGTTTGGATTTCTGCAGGCGGAGACCATTCCATGTGACCTTGAGATGGTCGGCAACACTCTCACATCCGTCAGTGTGTTCTTCCTAGTCGCCATCAGCACAGACAGGTACGAAAAGAAGTCTGAAAACGATCAGAAGGTCTCGTGAATATATCTCAGGCTAATGTTCAATGGTTGTAAATGCTATCTTATAACTATCATTACTGGTATACTAGCCTGAAAAAATTTGATTATGATTACTATAAGACCCCTAATAATTGTAAATTACTACTTAAGTTACAGCGGTGACTAGTTAATCAAATGTTAAGCAATAATTAATCAAAAAATGAGCATTATGATCTAATCAAAAATAATCGAATATAGTCAAATAGAGTGTTTTAAAATCTTTATTTCGTCGAATCAACAAAAACTATATTTATTGATTAAAACATCAACAATTTAAGAAATTTTTTTGGAAACTTCTAGAAAATTCACAAACAGTGCGCTATATCAGATATGAACAGTTGCTGATGGCTTGATACAAGTTGAAACTGATGTAAAAAATGTTTTTTTTTTGGCTTAGGTATTGTTAATCTTGTATATAAACTTTTTGTTCACACTTTTTATGTACCTTTTTCTTTAACTGATTTTTTTCTTTTCTTTTCTTTTCTTGACTTGCTCTCCCTAAACCAATATACGTCCTTTATAGTCTCTCTAGCACCCCCATCGTTTACAAACCACCCTTCTGCCACCACGTTTACAACCTCGTCAAACCCACCCCACCCTGTTTATCTACCCCACTCTTCCTCCAAAATCATATCCCTCCCCCACCACCGCATCCCCCAACTTCACCCCTTTTTCAATCCCCTCACTATCCCACATCCCCCCACGTTTGTCCCTTCTTCACGTGAGCCCGGTAAAGATAAGGGCGGTAAAGTTGGCGAAAGGTAAACATGGGGGAGGACTGGTGTGAGGTATAAATTAGAACGGAGAAAAGGCGGGGTAGGAGTATTAAAAAGGCGTTAAACAAATGAGAAAGTTTTTGTTTTGGTTTGTTTGTTAGTATTGCAGAAATATAGAGGTTATTATCAATTATACACGGATTTGAACGGATTATAATCCATTATAATTGATTACATCTAACTTGTATTGGATTATAACAAGGATAGCCTGTTGCTGTGCAAGTAGCGCTGAATGTTCCGACCGTGTTCATAAAAACTCCAAATAAAAGTTTTTAGGTTTTATTAAGTTCTTCTAATTAGTGTCGTTTTTTGGACGAGTTTTGATGAGAAAACTACCTACACGTATAACAATTTTTAAAAAAATAGGCACAATCTACAACTGTGCTCCTCAAAAACAGAATAGCAAACAAAAAAATGATGAAGAAGAAATTGAATCCAGGAAGCAAAATTTCTTACCAGGGAAGTGCCAAATAATGCGTTTAAAATTTGTTATCGCTGGGAACAATCAAGTTTAACATGATAAATATGAAAAGTTATCATCGCTTTATTCAGTCAAAACTCGATGAAAAACCAAAACATTCAAACCGGTTTTTTTCTCGGCACTGGGTAATTTTTTTCATTTTGTTCAAATCACTAATGAAAGGGCTTTGATCTGTTGTATCTCTTAAGCCAGTCCAATCATTATTTGTGGTACATGAGTTTCCGTGGAAAAAAAAAGAAAACTAGAAGATACCCGAAGACAAAAACCCTCCCCATTTTCAATGTTCGGATCATTGGCTACAAGAAGAAAATTTTGTTTTTGGCTGACCGATCCTTAAGTTTTTCTGAATGCGCCTAAGAGGCCAATAAATACCATTTTTGAGTGGGGAAGGCGCGGAAAAAACGCAGTCCAAATTGTCCAAAATGTGCCTGAAATCCCCCTTTTTGGCGTTTTTTTATACTCCCGTTTACAGCACAGAATAATTGGTGAATTCATGGACTTTAGATTGATATGGGAGATCTGGGAAAATCAAGTTTTTTAGTATTTTTTTGAATGTTTTTGAAAATACTCCGCCCTTGATAAAATTCTAGATCCGCCCCTGGATACTTCTTTTAGTGATCGATAGGCAGGAGGTTAAGCGAGGGGAGTGTAGAAGAGGTGATATTATCTATCTTTTAATTTCAAATTTTTAAATTGAGTGTGGTCATTCATTACGAGGCCAAACTGTGCACTGGATAGGCGCACAATTTTGTGTCTGTATGTTCCTGGATTCCATAGACAAGTCTTTAAACATGTTAAAATTTTGTCGGAACGATCAAAGATAATGAATGAACAAAAAGAAGAACAGAGGGAGCGTCCTTGTTGCGGAATCCGCTTACAATGCACAAAATGCGCAGTTTGGCCTCTTAATTTTTTTAATTTCCTTTTTTAAATTTAACATTGAAACTCCAAATTCTGACCTTGATTCACGAGACTTAGCGTCTCAATTGCCTGCAAATTAGGTACGTGATCTTCTAAGTTGGCTACTTAAAAGAATCTGAGTTGTAATGAACAGATTTTAGATTTTAAAAAAAGATCATTAAATCTCTGATTGTTTTAAGAGGCGAACTTAGAAGACAATTTGCCTACTTTTGAGGCATAAAGAAGCTAATCATCTTGAATCAAGATCAGATTTTGCAGTCTTACTGTTATATTTGAAGTGGGAAATTAAAATGAAATTTTAAACATTAAAAAGTAAACTAAAAAGTAAATAAAATAGGCTCTTCTACACTACCCCCATCCCTCTCAGCTTATCATTCTTTCCACACAAAAATCCAAGGGCTCATCTAGTATTGCTACCAGAGCCCTGTTTTTTTGACAAAATTTTCTGTAATTCAAGCAATTAAAAAAAACAGGTAAATAACTCCCTTTTGGGCAAATTTTGGATTTTTTTTGACAAACAATTACGTTTGTTTTCGACGCACGTTATTCTTCAAGTTCAATATTTTTGGCGTTGAATGCGCCCTTAGAAATATTTTAGGGCTGGTCGCTGTAATTATCTTAAAATAATAACAAAGGGGACATCCTTAGGTTACTGAGGGGGTCGAAACCCTGAGGGGGGTAGGTGGAGGGGGCTTGGGCGTGGCGGTTGTAGAAGGAGAGGAAAGGGGTTTGATCGCCTCCACCAACACCACCTCCCCCTAACCGCCCCTGTTTCAGATATTTCATCAAACGAGTTGGACCGAACTTAACCATAAAAATTTCTTGATTTTATTCTTTCATTTTTGTTCAAAAAAAACAAACTTAAAAAATAATATTTATTTAGTTTAAACTGAACAATTTTTTCGAAGAAGAGTTTTTCAAAATTTAGACATACTTCGCGTAGCAATCTGTCTAAATAGTAAAATGAGTGAAAACAACTGCAAGCGAATTTTAATCCAAATTGTTTTCCAGATTCATCTTCATAGAGTACCCTATGCGCTACCACGGATGGATCCAGAAGACATACAAGGTCCAGATAGGACTTATCTGGATTGGGACCTCGATTGTCTGGAGTGGGATGAACTTCCAGATGATATGCCACGGGTAAATGCTTATTTCAAAATAGCAGATTTAGTTGAAATTTAGATCGGCGCAGAAAAATTTTCAAGAGTTTTCTTTTTATGTTGTTTCGGGATGCTCGGAAAAACAATTTAATCAGCCTAAAAAGATCTCAACCCTTCAAGATAATTCTTGATCCGCACCTGATTAATAAATTATTTACAGAAAAAAATGCACAAAGAAGCAACTTTTAATAGCAATAAGACTGATCGTATCTCAGAGCAAAGCTCTAAATGTTCCGACTGTCCCTTATTGTTCCGACTTTCGGTACGAAAGTAACGGAATATTTGTGCTCGGGGTGGGTTTTTTTTTTCTTCAGACAAATTTCGACTTTTTACCTAGCCATTTTTGACGGAATTTTTTTATATCATTCGAAAGCCATTGTTGTCTTGAGCTTAAATTTGAAAAGATATTTCACCTGTGATCATTTTTCGTAGAGTTATGAGGGTTTAAAGATTGCCATTTTGGTCATTTTGAGCAATTTGGGACAATAAACGCGCGATATAATTCGCGCTATTAACGCGTAAGCGGAGATTTAATTCGTCTTTTAAATCGTTCCAAATTGGTTGAACGAAGCTTATTTGCCATAATTGGTTGGTTACAAGGAACGAAATCTCTCTTTTTGTACTTTATATGGCGTGTGGGGGGATGATTTTCATAAAACATTTCAAATTTTGGAAAAAAAATTTTCATTTTATTTTATTTCATTTGATTTTTTTATCCTATTACTGCTGCTCCATAAACCTTAAAAGGCAGTCGGAACATTCAGGGCTTCACCCTGATACGAGCAGTCTTGTTTCATATCGAATTGTTTTTTTTTGGAAAGGACAATATTGAAAGCCTATTTAGTTTGGACAAAATCAAAGAAAACATTTTTGAGACGAACAAAATTAATACGACTAATTAGCTAGCCTCAATTCAATTTGGAGCAATTTTGTTGTGCGGGACAATGCGCCACGCATAGAAAATTCCCATTACGCTCTCAGCATTACGAAAAAACTTTTCAAAGCGCGCATAATTTAGTCCAGAAAATGGACACTTTGACAGTTTTCAAAAGCCCAGAACTTTACAAAAAAATTGGAGGTAAAACATCTTTTTAAATTTTAACTCAGGAAGACAATATCTTCAATGGGGTATAAGAAGTTTTATGGAAAACTGTTATTTCGATCGGTGAAAACTGTCTGAGTAAAAAACCACACCGAGCGTAAACATTCCGTTTTCTTCGAAAGTCGGTAAGTTTTATTAGTGCCGATTTGAATGATCGTCAAAAAACTACAAGCCTGTCAACAGGCGTCAGCTACATAGGAGTAATTTGGAAGGTCCGAGTTTAAATTTTTATTTAACCCGGTTGAACCCTAAAAGTCCAAAAACGTTTTTTTTTGTTGTGAGGGAAATAAAATTGCCGAGAGTTCGCTCTCTAACAGGTATAGTTTTCTAAGCTTAGGAGAGAGACCGTCTTATTTTCTGCTCGACATTGTGAGACATTTATAAATTGCTAAAATTAACAATCTTAAAGAAAAGAAGCTTAAAACGTTCAAATTTTTTTGGATTTTTTCTTTTTTAATGCCATGAAAATTTTATTATCTTTAGAAGAAATCTTTTAACCCATCATTTTTTTTGTTTATCTTTTTGTTTACTTTTTTGTTTACATCATGTGAGTGAGTGTGTTCATCCTTTCAATATTGGAATAAAATTAGCAAAATTCAAATATTACAAACAAGGTTGGTTCATCTTAGGTTCCAAACAAGGTTCATAATTCGATTACAGAATTAACTGTTCATTTTAAAATTTTTGACACTTTGTCTTTATCACGACGTTTTTTAATCGAAAACTGCCAATGGCTTCAATGGTTGGAGAGTCGGAAAGGTTACAATTTTTAGAAAAAAAAATTTTCATTTTATTTTATTTCATTTAATTTTTTTATGCTATTACTGCTGCTCCATAAACCTTAAAAGGCAGTCGGAACATTCAGGGCTTCGCCCTGATACGAGCAGTCTTGTTTCATATCGATTTGTTTTTTTTTTGGAAAGGACAATATTGAAAGCCTATTTAGTTTGGACAAAATCAAAGAGAACATTTTTGAGACGAACAAAATTAATACGACTAATTAGCTAGCCTCAATTCAATTTGGAGCGATTTTGTTGTGCGAGACAATGCACCACGCATAGAAAATTCCCATTACGCTCTCAGCATTACGAAAAAACTTTTCAAAGCGCGCATAATTTAGTCCAGAAAATGGACACTTTGACAGTTTTCAAAAGCCCAGAACTTTACAAAAAAATTGGAGGTAAAACATCTTTTTAAATTTTAACTCAGGAAGACAATATCTTCAATGGGGTATAAGAAGTTTTATGGAAAACTTTTATTTCGATCGGTGAAAACTGTCTGAATAAAAAACCACACCGAGCATAAACATTCCGTTTTCTTCGAAAGTCGGTAAGTTTTATTAGTGCCGATTTGAATGATCGTCAAAAAGCTACAAGCCTGTCAACAGGCGTCAGCTACATAGGAGTAAATTGGAAGGTCCGAGTTTAGATTTTTATTTAACCCGGTTGAACCCTAAAAGTCTAAAAACGTTTTTTTTTTGTTGTGAGGGAAATAAAATTGCCGAGAGTTCGCTCTCTAACAGGTATAGTTTTCTAAGCTTAGGAGAGAGACCGTCTTATTTTCTGCTCAACATTGTGAGACATTTATAAATTGGTAAGGTTTAAATTAACAATCTTAAAGAAAAGAAGCTTAAGCCGTTCAAATTTTTTTTGGATTTTTTCTTTTTTAATGCCATGAAAATTTTAATATCTTTAGAAGAAATCTTTTAACCCATCATTTTTTTTTGTTTATCTTTTTGTTTACTTTTTTGTTTACATCATGTGAGTGAATGTGTTCATCCTTTCAACTTGGAATAAATTTAGCAAAATTCAAATATTACAAACAAGGTTGGTTCATCTTAGGTTCCAAACAAGGTTCATAATTCGATTACAGAATTAACTGTTCATTTTAAAATTTTTGACACTTTGTCTTTATCACGACGTTTTTTAATCGAAAACTGCCAATGGCTTCAATGGTTGGAGAGTCGGAAAGTGTTTATTACTGTTTTCACTATTCTGGCTTAACTGGAAAGGGAGAAAAAATGTATTACTATGTCCAATTTTCCAACTTGCAATCCATATTTAGTATTTCAGCCGATTTGTTTCCAACTTCTAGCAAATACCTTTTGATATCTTTAGGAACATTTTGCGGACAGATTGCTCTGATCTGAATAATTTCGTTCATTTCACGCTATGATAAACACGAAGAAAGTTTTTTCTATTTTTGGCTCGCAATGATTTAGAAATGAGTCTCTTTTCGTTCATTAGTTTTCTTTGTTCGCGCTCTCTTTCGTGCCCAATTTTATTGCATCTGTAAAGTTATACATTTTCTTTTCGCGTTTGAGTTCTTGGAAAATCAACAAGTTATTCAGAGTAATCTGATTTCGTTTTGTAAGTAGAACGAAAGTCTCGATGACATTTTGTACACAGAAAAGTGTGTTAGACTGACTCAAATGCTTTTTTCCAGCTTCTAAATGAAGAAACCTACGTTTTTCATCATCAAATTTTTCTATGACAGCCAAAAAAGCAAAATATATTTTTTTTATTTCTCTTCAAACAAAGCGTTGTTCGTGAATTTATTGTTTTAATCTTCTCAGTTGATGAAATATTAATTAATTTTTTTAATCTGTTCTGTAGTATGGCTTTTCTACTATTTTGTCGGCTTTAAAATTGTTTAAAAAAAATTGGTTCAAAAAAGCTTTATGAGATAGTTGCAGGTCGGAACAAATATTCAGAGTATTTCTATTACAGTTTGAGACAGATCTTGTTTCAACATCTATTCGTATTTTTGAGACACGAAGTGATTATCTTGTTTTAATTCAAGATGTAATAACTGATTTACCAGCTGGTTCAGGAAAAAATCAGCAGATTGTCGTGGTGATAAAAAATTAAAAAATTTTTATTCCTATTTTGATTTACTCTCATTTTGTTTATCAATTTGTCTCAAATTTATTATGTGCATAATCTTACATGTAGTTTTAGTGCTCACCTTTTATTTCATCAATAACCAATTTCCGAGAAAAAATAAGTTTTTACATTTTCAAAGCGCATAATTTGTTATAAACCTTAGACTAATATTCAGCTAATTCGGCTAATTAATAGTTCATTACCAAAATATTTTGCGGTGGTTGGATACAATTTCTTGAGCGTTTCGCAAAGAAGCTTGAACGTAAAGCAGGCCTTGACATGTGCTTAATTTTTTTGCCATGAACTGATTAATTTTTGTTCTAAGGACATTGAAAGTTTGGCATTTCAGTGTTGCAAATAAATTCTTTAATCAATTTTTTTGTATTACATTTTCAAATTGATTATGTTATCAGTATTGCGAAAATATGTTGTTTTGATTTTCGAAAAAAATGACGAATTACAAGTGCTCTGGTTGGTTTTTTTCTGGACAACTTTCGACTATTTAATTAACTGTAGACGTTTTTTTTTCATATTCCAAAGGGTATTGTTGTACTTAGCTCATACTTGATAAGATGCTAGTCAATTTTTTTTTATCATTATACGAGGGTGTACTGATAGCCTTTTTACTCAATTTTTGACTACTAACGCTCGATTCAGTTTGTGTTATTAGAAGAGCGTAAGCGGAAAATTCTTCAAAAGTACGTAAGCGTCCTAGATATAGTTCCAAATTGACATAAGGCAAGCTGTTTTTTTTTTCAAATTTTTGCATGCACACTATATGGTTTTGTACTTGAAATAGCGTGTGAGAGATGATTTCTGAAATGAAAGCAAAAACAAAATACAAATTTTTTAAAGTTTACTGGCGAATGATGAAAAGACCGGTCTGATCAAATCAGTTGAAGTAAGGAGCATTTCTAAGAAACAGTGAAGCGAGCGAGTTACAGCACTCAAATAGAAGAAACTTTTTTGCCGATTGGTGAGTCACTGTTTGAT